ATATATATATATATATATATGAGAATTAATTCACAGTTGATTAATGATTTGTGTTCCTCTCATTTTTGTCATGGTCAATGCAAAGGTGTGTTTTTGCTGTTACCCTTGGATTCTTTTTCACTTCTGTCACTGCTGCATGTTATGATCTCTCCGAGGGAAAGTGATGGAAATAATCAGTTTAAAGCGTTATACAGTTATGACCCTGATGTTACCTCATCACAAGATGCCAAAGTGCACATCACCGGCAGACGGATAACGGGCAACACGCATGCGCGCAACAGCCTTAAACAAAGGTAAACTTATCTTGAAAAAATAAAAATAAATAAAGACCCTTCAATACGTTATAACGCCACATCAATTAAATACGTCACACATTGCACGGTTTGCGTCAGAGATGTGGATGTGTTAGCTTGAATCTGAGGACCTCTCCCTGACAGCCAGCTAAAAATCACCGCACCTTTGGAATATTCCTGAAGACGGAAGTGAGCGCTCCTGTTTTCTCACCAAGCCTCTGAACGCAGCGCATGCATGTCAGTCTCCGAATGCTTGTTTACATGTGTTGGGTACACCTGTGAGTTATTCCCGAAGATAGTTCGGAGCTGTCATTTGCCTCTGAGTATCACCCCGTGCGGTATGGCAGCAGCAGCGGAGGATACGGAGGAGCGTGGCCGCAGCAACAGCACCAGCGGCGGGGCGGTGCAAGGAGCGCTAACAGGTGACGGCGAACCTGAGGAGGCCGAGGAGTTCACCTGTTCGGCCTACTGCTCGGAGCTCTCCCGGCGGCAGAACGAGCAGAGGAAAGCCGGGCTGTTCTGCGACGTGACTCTGGTGTTCAGCTCGGGAGCCGTGCCCGGGGTCCAGACGGTATCCGCGCACCGCTCGGTTTTATCCGCGGCGTCGCAGTACTTCATGCTGCTGCTGTCCGGACAGTTTTCAGAGTCCCGATCCGGGCGAGTGGAGCTAAAGGAGTGGAGCTCGGGCACGAGACCCGACACAGACACTGTGGAAAGTGTCGTACAGTTCATGTACACGGGAGAAGTCAGGGTGACCACTGCCAATGTGCATGAAGTGTTGGAACTTGCAGACAGGTGATTTATTCATTTATTTTTAAATTATTCCGCAGGTGAATCAGATTGTGGATTTCACTTTACTTATATGCGGAAGTATGTAAGTCACACCAGGTGGCGTGACTTTGTATGCTGTCATTACAAGAATTAGTTAGCAGGGTCATATTAAAAACTGACGTCCAGTGAGGGGGCAAACAACGACCCAGTTCTCATCAACAGAGGAGTATCTAATAGGCTCCACAAACCGCAACCCTGAATTAGAAAAGCGGAAGAAAATAGATTAATGGATGGATGGATTGATTTGAAATTTTCCCTAAAAAATAAAACAAAAAACAAAACAAGGATCAAACTGATATATTTAAATGTGTTTTGTACAACCAATAAGCGGATATATACAGCAGTTTGTTATAATAGAGGGTCAAGAAAATTAGTAACAATCATTCTCGTGAAGCTGGATGTGAGTTTTGGCATTTTGCTCAGTAATAGATGCCAAATTAAATTCTGTTTCATTAAGAGTAAAAACAAGAAACCAGCTTATCTCTTTATAGTAGATATGGTCCACACAAGCATCTCTTGCACTGTTTTTTGGCCTTCGGGTGTGGTGGACATATTATTACTGTTATTATCAGGGTTAAGTGTTTAGAAGTTGCATGGTTGACAAATCCTATGTCGATGGACCTGTAAGGGTGTGGCAGCTTGCGTGGTTACATCTTTGCTATTATATCCGCAAAAAATGTAAATGTAACAATTTTTAACCTTCAGATTACAAAAATCATCATTGTAAAAGAACTATTGGTTTAATTTTGTTATCTGCTTCAGTTTCAAGGTCCTGATGTGGTTTATGGTGGCTCCTTGGCGCTGTGTTATAGCTTACCAGACAGCTGAATAGAACAGTGTATCGTGGTATTGATTTTATCCTGGGAGTCTGTCTCAGCGAGGCTGTTTGAACAGGTTGTCATATTGCTGTCTAACAAAAAATAATTTAAGATACATTCACAGAACTCCACAGCCATGAAGCTTGAGTTTAAAGTTGCAGGTGTGGTTTGATCCAATAGTGCTGAGTAATTAGACCACACCTTTCTACTCAAAGTGCTTCCATCACAAGTCAGGACTTAAACTACTATCTTTGATTGTTACACTTGCTTGTCAGGAGTGGGATTTGAACCCACGCCTCCAGAGGAGACCGCGACCTGAACATAGCGCCTTAGACCACTCAGCCATCCTGACACTCAAGAGTTGTTCTCGTTCAACCCGCAGATTTTATTGCCTGTGCAAATTTTTATACTGTCATAAAATACTTTACATAGAGAGTCAGTATTTTTTAATTAATTCAAAGAAATTCAATTCACTTTTATTTATACACCAAATCATAACAACAATCGCCTCGAGGCACTTTGTATTGTAAAGTAAAGAGCCTAAAATAATACAGAGAAAACCACAACAATCAAAGGATCCTCTTTAAGTAAGCACTTGGTGACAGTGGGAAAGAAAAATTCCCTTTTATAGCAGGAAGAACGGGAACGGGCAGCTATCTGCCACGACCGGTTGGGAGGTGGTGGGAGGAAGACGGGATAAAAGAAACATTGTGGAAGAGAGCCAGAGATTAATAATAAGTTAATGTGGCAAGGAAATATAACATTTTTCGTATGCTGTAACTTTGATATCTCACTCTGTCAGGTTTCTGCTGGGGCAGCTGAAGACCTTCTGCGGAGAGTTCCTGATGAGGAAGTTGAGCATGTCCAACTGCGTAGCCGTGCACAGCCTTGCACACATGTACACGCTGAACCAGCTCGCTCAGAGAGCCGCCGAGACGATCAGGAGAAACTTTCACAAAGTCATTCACAACGAGGAATTCTTCACACTGCCCTTTCACTTGGTGCGAGACTGGCTGTGTGATGCAGAAATCACCGTGGAGTCTGAGCAGGAGTTGTTTGAGGCGATCGTGAAATGGGTCCACCACAACCCAGAGGAGCGAGAGAAGCATTTTGAGGACCTGTTCAAACTTTTAAGGCTCCCACAGATCGCTCCTACTTACCTGACGCGTGTCGTGAGGAAGGAGCCCTTAGTGGCAAACAGCGCGGCTTGTCTGGAGCTGGTGTCCAGTGCGCTCGAGGTCCACGCTGTTCGTTATGAGAGCCCCAAGAAGGCTGATTCAGATCTCGGTGACTCCTACGAGGCGACGATCCAGCCTCGATACGGTCAGAACATGGATGTGATCATGGTAGTGGGTGGTGTTTCGGAAGGAGGAGATTATTTGAGCGAATGTGTGGGCTACTTTGTTGCTGAGGATCGCTGGGTCAGTTTGCCACACATCCACAACCACCTCGATGGACATGCTATTGCTGTCACCGAGAATCACCTTTATGTGGCGGGCTCAATGGAGCCCAGCTTCGCCAAGATGGTGGAGCGCTACAATCCTAACCTTAACTGCTGGGAGTCGGTCAGCAGCCTGACCACACGCAAGCATTCGTTTGGCCTCACGTGCATCAAAGACACACTCTACATCATCGGCGGCCATGGCAACTTCAGTCCAGGTTTCAAGGATGTCTCCATTTATGAACCTGAGCAGGACATGTGGCTCAATCTGGAGCCAGCGCCAAAGATCCTGCGAGATGTAAAAACAGTGAGCGTGGAGGATCGCTATGTGTACGTAATGGCCAGGACCCCCGTAGATATAGACAGCGATGATGGGCTGAGCACGGTGACCACCTGCTACGATACAGAAAGCCGCAAGTGGCAGGAAGTGGACTCGTTACCGCTTATTGATACCTATTGTAGTTTTCAAATGGCTGTTGCATCCAGCAACTTCTATCACACAGCTTCCTGTTGCCCCAAGAACTACACGGTAACACATGAGGCCGCCCAGCAGAAAATAAGCAGAAACATCTCAGAGGACATCCTCGACAGCCTCCCGTCAGAGGTCCTCAGCCTGGAGGGTGCAGCCATTTGCTACCTGGGTGAAGACATCTTCATCATTGGCGGGTGGAGGAACAGCAACCACGTAGAAAAGCAGTACCGCAAGGAGGCCTACCGCTACTGCGCCAAGAGGAAGCGCTGGATGCTGCTGCCGCCCTTGCCCCAGCCACGCTGCCGTGCGGCGGCCTGCCACGTTCGCATCCCGTACCAGTACCTCTATGGCTCCCAGCGTTACCCCGTCCCCCACAACCTGGCTCACCAGCGAGACCGCATGCAACAGATGCAGCAGCTCCATCGGCGCACCCTCAGCCTGCGGAGGCAAATGCAGTCTCAGATTGAATGTTAAGAATCAGATATTCTGCTTTAAGTCATTAGCACTTCATCTGCTGATAAATGCCTTGCTGTCATCTCAAGACTTTGTTTCAGTTATTTTATTTTATTTTATTTTTTACCTTAATTGAGGTGAAATGTTTGCGCCATTTTTTCCTGAAGCGGGTTTGCAGTGAAGGAAGCAATGAGTCTAATCATTTTTGGCCTCATGCCTTACTTTTTATCGTGCCAGCAAATAAGACTGCTGTTGGTTTTGTTTGCGAAACAAATCACAGCTCAGCTTTTTAAACCGCGGCCTTTGTTAGCATCTTAGATAAAGGATGTCAATGTTTCCTGTGTGTGCAAAACAAAAACAACAAAACTGTCATGAGAAAACTTTGTGTCAGGAAGCATACTTGGCAAAGTAAACGATGTCTATTTATTGTGATGTATGTTAGAAGGAAATCATGAATTACAAAAACTAATTCAATAGCTAACTTAGAAAAGAAGTATCAGCTGCTTTAACTGTTTGCTTTCCTTTCCGTTGTTGTCATTGAGGGGTTTTTTTTGCACAGTATGCATTGGAATAGTGATGATCGTATACTCTGTGCCTAAACAGACAATCACAATTTCGTAGCAAGGACTGAATGTTGACAAAAAGCACACGCTGTGCGACAGCTTGACTTTGGATGTGTGTGTGTGATTTATTTTAAGCTGGTCAAAAAAACAAAACTCTATTTCATATATACGATTTCTGGAAAGATGGACTAAATACCACAATGATAATCCAAGTATCGGATTTTGTGTTTAAATACGACGCTTTCCCATTTCACATCGCAAGGACAACCGCTAACAGATCCAACCACTGACAGCAGTAACTTTGTGAAAATGTTTGGTTTGTGGGTTTTAATGGACTTGTTTGGTGTTTGCTCTGCATTTACGCTTCTGGCAGAATCTGTTTAGTGTTTTTGTCTCGGTGAATGAAAGCACATATGAACATTGCACTGTGGAAAGATTTTTAAATGTGCTTAATACACTAAACCAGCAAGACGATGTGTTATTTTTGTGAATGGTTATCATTTCCCCACTGTGCCAATAAAAATAAGACCTGTTCCTTAGTGACACCATTGATTTATTGTACTTACTGCATTAAAGGACCTTGAATGTTAGCTTTACTCCTGAAGAGCGTTCCTTTGAGTTTAGTGACCCCCTCAAACATACCATGCTGGGTGTAGTGAATAAAGAGAAACTCATTCAGTATTTTTGAAGCTGTGTTTAGATTTTTGTACCAGTTTGGTCAATTTTAGATCAAATGTAATAATAATGGATTGCATTTATATAGCGCTTTTCGAGAACCTCAAAGTGCTGCACAATTCCATTATTCATTCACTCTCACACACTGGTGGAGGCAAGCTACAGTTGTAGCCACAGCTGCCCTGGGGCAGACTGACAGAAGCAAGGCTGCTATATCGCACCACCGGCCCCTCTGGCCATCACCAGTAGGCGGTGGGTGAAGTGTCTTGCCCAAGGACACAACGACCGAGACTGTCCAAGCTGGGGCTCAAACCGGCAACCTTCCGATTACAAGACAAACTGCCAACTCTTGAGCCACGATCGCCCTGTGTGACATGTGACACATTTAGCTGTCGTGTACTCTTGTGTAAAATGTCTAAAAACAGCACACTTTTATTCTGAAGATCTCCAAATGTTCTAAATATGGAAGAGTGCTCAAATGCTTCTCATGTACTTTCAAGTCTTTTTTTCTTATAAGTGAACTATATTTACACTTCAGGAACTCTTAATATCCAGTCCCTGCGATCAAAGTACTTTGATTGTAGAATTTTGCACCTTTTTAAAATGTAAAGCAAAAGTCTTGAGGCACCCCTCATTTCTTTATATTTTGCTTCTCAGGTCCTTCAGAAGAAATTTTCTCTGGCCGCTGGCTGATTTTTTTATTTTTATTTATTTTTTTACTCTTTTTCCGTCCAGCTCTCGAACCTGACCATTTCCAGAGGAATGGTATTTATGATCTATGAATCTGTGATCTATGAAAAACGTTCCTAAGTCAGTGGATGAAAAATTATGTGTCTGCACATAGCAGATAACTTGGCAAACAACAGATGTCTGCTTAAAGAAATTACAGAAAAGCTTGACTAAGACAGCAGAATAAATATAATTCAATTCAATAAATAAATCGCTAATATGTTTCCCATTTTCCTAGCAAAATATAAAGATTTTTTCTTCTATCGTCACAGTATCTCTACCATTAATAACTTGGCCTCGATATTCGTCTAGTGAAATTCTAGTACTGTGACAGCTCCCTCAGTATATCCTCACCATCAAGTAGGAACAAATGCATGTCGGAACCATGGATAGTGTGGCGTAGACGCGGGGGAGCTCTATGTCTGTGACAAGCAGAAATGTAAACAATCGAAAGCAGCAGCGGAGTGTAAACTGCATATAATTTGATTTTGAAATATTTTCACATAGATATTCAGACGTTTTTAACACAATGTGCTCTTAACGGTCCCTCTGAATAGTCGATAAAACGTCGCTGACGCCTGAGCTCTCCGTGAGAAGATGGTAAGTTGTAACTGTCAGCGGTTACGTAATCGCGTCGATAGTCGCTGAATCGGCTGTTAAAGTTTAACCGGTTGTGTTATGATAACATGTTTTTGCTGGCAGCATAAAAGAAGTCTATTCATTCAGATGCAGCTCATATTTGTACGGCATTGTCAGCAGGCTGGTTATGAGCTGTAACCACAGACTGAAGTGCAGTTTGGAAACCAATATTTAGGCCCAATTTATGCTTTTATTTTGAAAGAAAATAGGTACATAAGGTGTATGAGCTGCTTGAAAGGAAAACAGGAGTTTTATCGACTACTAAAACTGAGGGCTGCTCGGTTAAATCAGCTTGCAGCCACTGGTCGCTTGTTATGAATAAGCCCGAATGACAACTTTCCAATACAATGTTTAGTAAATAGCGCTATGATGGTGGGAAGCATGACTAAGAACAAAGGGGTGTTTCCACCTCACATTTCCTCCTCCATCATCTCGGTTTTGTCTAAAGGTAGTATGGTCCAAAGTTTAAACTGCTGTGAAATTTTCGCTTCACATATCAAACACTTTGCCTTGGACTGACTTTCAGCATGTTTGTTTGTTTGTTTGTTTGTTTGTTTGTTTGTTTGTTTGTTTGTTTAAATCTGAGGGAATGCTTAATTCACATCAAGTATAAAATATCGAAAGGGGTACCATGTGGTCAAAACAACTTAACCTTGCAAGGCTACTCCCATGGAACAAATGACCTGTTTCATTACTCTTAATTGTCTGAGATATATACACCGTCCACTGTGCTCAACTTGGGGTGATACCATGCATGGATGGTCAGGACCTTCTGGGTCATGATTTCACTGGCTTCTACTCTCCTCCTTTGGCCAGCTTATTATCCTAGCAGCATACCTGATGACCCTCTGCAGGTACTTAGTGGTTGCAGCTTTCGTCTGTGGGATCCCCAGATACTTGTAACTCTTCGTTATCACACTACTACACCTCTCCGAACAACACTTCGTATATCCTGGTGGAGTGAAGCGATCCTATTGGCTTGAAGTTGTTGTATCTTATATACTATCTATGAAGTTGGGCCTAAAAAAAAAAACTTTTGAAAATTGTAGAGTTTTCTCTCATCAGTGGGTGATGATATCTGTCATCCTGGCTCCCCCTTGCCATAGCATGTGTGTTTTACCTCTTCAATATCTTTCATATTTATCTCTCTCACTCATGTCTGTGGTGTCTTACTGGATGCAGACATCTCCAGGCAGGAATCAAACTTGCAACTCCCACTCCAAAGACGTGTAGTCTTACCACTACGCTGGGTACACTATAAACTGATTGACTTCTCCAGAAATTAAACACTGTATCTTATCCAAAACCATAAACAAAGTAACTCACTAGGTGTTTTAGGTAAAAGTAACCTCTTATGGCTATGCTTGCAGATATATCATGTTCCCTGGATCTATACGCCAGTGCGGACCGTTCTGGCAATTTGGCACCAGCTGACGAAAACTGAGGTGAGGAAGCTCCTCTGAAAATTACCATGTGATGGCTGAAATTATACGGAGCAAAGTAAATAGTTTTCTTTTGTTTGTTTGTTTTTTATCATAAATAACCTCCTGTGTGTGGGTGTTGGCTTTTCACTGAACTAAAGAGTAATGCCTCAGTGTAGAAATGGGTCCGCATTGCAAAATAAAAGAAGCTTAATTTATAGTGAGTGTAAATTGTAAGTCCAGAATCTTTTCTGTTCAGATCCCGGAGCTGGCCAAGTGCTCGGTGCTGATGAGGGAACGCAGCAGAGTGGAGGAAACGATCCACTGCATGCAGCGAGCAGGTGCAGGAAACCTGCAGGTAAGTGCGCTCAGTGCAGGTTATACACACAAACACTCGTTTGTAAATGCTCATTTGAAGAGTTTTGATTTCTTATGTGAAGATTGCAAACTCACTACAAGAGTCTTACAGGACCGAAAAGCCTTCACTGCTAAAATCATAGACTTTTGCACTATGCTGTAGGTGTTCTTGACTTAGTGAGATGTTATGAAGTTTTTCTTAAAAAGTGAACGTACCAGATTGTAGACTTCTAAAGTTTTTGCGATTCCACCCATAGTTTTATTTTGGTTCAACACTTGGAATCAACTCGAGATCCTTTAATAATGAGGGAACAGGTCTCACCTGACCATGAAGCTGCTTGCCTGCCAATTGTCCAATTACTGAAAATGGGGAATTATGTCTAAGAATGGCTGAAAATCCTAAACACTTGATGCAATACCTAAAAGCTGAAGGTCTGCACTTCAATCACATCTTAATTGTTTGATTTTAAAATCCTGTATGATGGTGTACAGAGGTAGAATTACAGTGATTCCCTAAAAGCACATGGAGCTACTGTAACTGTGCATTTATGTGTCTGCTGTTTTCACAGGTAATCTCAGACTTTGACATGACACTGACCAGATTCGCTCACAACAGCAAGAGAGTTCCCACCACTCACAGTGAGCACAAAGACACTGAAAGTGTTCCCATGATGTATTCCAGTATGTATATACAAATTACTGGATGGATAATGCAAGTTTTACCTGTGTGGTTTTTGTTTGTGTCTTCTTTTTAGACATCTTGGATAACAGGCTGCTGATTAATGAAGACTGCACTAAAAAGGTAAGAGCTTTACAAACACATGGGTTAATGTGTTAACTTTAAGACCAACTGTGTTTGTTGCCATGTGGATAGGATATAATATTAATGAGTGTTCTGTTGTTGTTCTGTGTAGATGAGGGAGCTGTTAAACACTTATTATCCCATAGAGATCGATGCTAGCCGGAGTGCTGAGGAGAAACTTCCTCTCATGGTTGAGTGGTAAGAAATAAATGTGTCAGATATTAACTCATTTGATTCCAGTGCCTCTTCAGAGCATACTGAATAATATACAGTGAATTGTAATTTATATACACACTGATGTATGTTGTTAAATGGTTGATATCTTGTATTTATTCTGCTCTCTAAAGGTGGACAAAAGTCCACGAGCTGCTGATTCAGCAGAAGATCAGAAAAGACATGCTGGCCCGGGCTGTGAAGGAATCCAGCGCCATGCTCAGGTACGCACAGCTCAAATTACACAGAACTGATTTATACAGAGAAGAATGTGTTTACAGTTACAGCTCTGTTTACAGTTATGAAGCTTTTTGTCATTTAAAATATTCTTCGAGGCAGGTGATGTCTATACAAATCAATTTATTACACTGTCACAACAAAGCTAATACATTACAGCTGCTCTGCAATGAAAACATTCATTTAGAGGCGAAAATACTTATTAAAAATGAGGTGGGAACCAGTAACATCAGCTGTGTTTGGGTTTCAGATACTTTCAAAAGCAATGTTTAACACTGTAAAGATTATATGAAACATTTCTATTTAACCTCTGTGGTGTTTCTTCATGTTTCATGGTCTAATTTAGTCATGTTTGGTGTGTTTCTGTCTTAAGGGAAGGGTACAAAGTATTTTTTGACCATCTGGCTGAGCACCAGGTCCCTCTGCTGATCCTCTCCGCCGGGGTCGGTGATGTCTTGGAGGAGGTGATTCGACAGAACCACGTCTTCCATCCAAATGTCCACATCATCTCCAACTACATGGACTTTGACCACACTGTGAGTTTAACCACACTCGGCCTCACACACGTGTCATGTGATGGATATGACTGTATACATTTGTAATTTTACGTCATATAATTACTAATATATTACATACATATTAGTGCACAAGTCCATGTTTTTTTTTTTGTTTTTTTTAAACACAAAACATGATTCGCGGCTAACTGAGAAGAACAAACTTGTCTTTATATTTAACAAAAGCTTTTCACGCACATTGTTTTCCTTTTAACTTCTCTAATAAACATTAATCACCATGCATTAATAGGCATGCAGGAAATATAAGATTTATTATTAATACTTTCTTAAATCTATGCTCTTATAATTGCTTATTTTTGCACGTTAGCTGACTTCTGTCACATCTTGTAAAGTCTCATCATCAGTCTGTCAGTCGTCTGTGAAACACCTTGAACTGCACTGAACTGCATGTAGTTTGATTGACTGGTTCAGTACAATGGATGTAAAAGCTTGGATCACAAGCTTAAAAAAAATAATCATTTTGCCAGGTTTAAAAGCTTTAAGCTTCTAGCCAAACCAGTCAGTTTAGACGAACCAGCATCGCACGAGGAATTACTGGCAAGTAAGTTTGCAGTTGGATACGTTTGAGAGGTGTGACAATACACACCTGGTTAGTTGAACCACCTGCCACGTAGTTTTTTGAAAGGAATTTTCAGTTTTTGTTTTGTTTTTTGTACAAATTTTCCTTACAAAGAAAGAAACTGTTACAGCTTTTTAGAAAAGATCCTTTCTACTGTGTTTCTTACTTTTTTCTGAAAAACGTGTCATATTTCTCAACTGTTACGTGTAGTCAGTACATTCAGTCCAGAAATGGGGAGTAAATCTATTTATTGTATTGATTTATTATAGTTGACGTGTTCTGTCAGAGTGCTGTTGTTTCATGTTAGCTCATAGGGTGTTTTGAATACGAGGAGGTATGAATATATGAATGGTTATCTGTATGTGTCCAGCATGTTCAAGTTTCGCTCTGCTTTTTGCTAAATGCTTGCTGAAGTTGGATCCAGCCAGTGCTGTGCAATTAAGCAAACTACAGTTGTACAATAATTTACAATAATTCTCTTGTTTTGCATTTTTAGCACATTTCATACCTTTATAAAAGTCCAAATTCACACTTGCAAGGTGGTCGTCTATCTGGCTGGTCAAGTTATTCATTTCCCAGCCTTCCTCTGTAACTGTTGTCATGAGCTGTCATGCATCTTTGTTGTATTGGTCTTTTGAATAGATGTGTGATAGCTTACTTACCTTATTGTAACGCAGCATTTCTTGCTATTAAGGGGGTGCTGCAAGCCTTTAAAGGTCAACTGATTCACACCTTTAACAAGCGAGAAGGCGCTCTGTCACATGCAGCCGGCCTCAGAGAGCTGCAGGGTCGACCCAACGTGCTGCTGCTAGGAGACTCACTGGGAGATCTGACCATGGCCGACGGGGTCTCTGAGCCCCAGAACGTCCTCACCGTTGGCTTCCTCAACGACCAGGTCAGACCGGTGTAGTGCTGTCCTGGGATTTGTTACTTCGACACGGATCAGTTTTAAAAGCTCACTTGTCTGTTTGGTGTTTCAGGTGGAGGAGAGGAAGGAGTCTTACATCAACTCTTTCGACATCGTCCTGGTGAAGGACGAGACGATGGACGTTCCAAACGCCATCCTCAGGTACATTACCTCATCGAGAGACAACAAGTAAGACGCACCAGAAGGATCCGGACTTAATGTGAAAAATGCACGGATTACCTCATTTACTGCATTCACCCTGTCGCATGCTGGACAATCTCACAGCCTCACTGACCTCATGACTGAATATTTGAACATCAAATCACTCTCTGGACCCGTGTTCACTGTAACGCGGTGCAGATGTTTAAAAACGTACCGTTCTGGTTTCACAGGCACGGGCTGGGCTCCGATTCAAACTGTTTTCTAGTGTTGCATCTAACTGGCCACGTGTTACCTCAGCTTAACTCACTGAGCTGCCAGAACATTAAAACCACAGACAGGTGAAGTTGATAACACAGGACTCCGCATTCTCAGAGCGGGACTATGCACTCCACTTAAGAACCAAGCCTACAAACACCCAAGATCCCAATCCACTGAGGTGCTAACTCCATAACCCACAGGATCCAAACGATCCGCTTTATCAGCACATCCTGTTTTTATTTGCAGGCTGCCCTGCGGGTAAAAACAACAACAAAAAGAAAAATCAGTCTGAACCATTAGCCTGCCAGCCCATTTTACAAGTGTTCTTTAAATGACTAACTTTGTAACCATTTGTGCTAGAAACAAAATTCAGACTGTGCCAGAAAGACGAGAAGACAGATTACACTGGGATATTTGGTCTGAACACAGACAGCACTTCACATTACCGCAATTCCTCAGTCATGTTGGGATACAGAAAATTGGGATATAGAAAATTCAAATGATTTCTGAAAGATAAGAATTTTTTTTTTTTTTAATTTTACATCTAAAGTTACAAAATAAGTCCAGGCAGCCTGTTTTTCAATCCTAATAATTACCCTGTGATTTATTTGTTTTTTTAGGAAGAAGCTGTGTTTTATGTGTACTGCGTGTTACCTTTGTGTACGCTGTGAGTACTTGAAGTTCAAGTCTAAACATACTGTGCACATGAGTTTCTTCATAGCATGCCGCTATGACAGTGCAGCGAACAGCCTTTTACCTCTGTGTTTTAAACGTTTTGGGTCTGTGACAGTGGACACAGACACATTAATCCTGCTATGCTATGGCAGTACTTCACAGCGGGCTGTTGCTGTATGTTAAATGCAGTAAGCTTGTTGAGCTTTCTCAAACATATCGTGCTCAAAGATAAGAAGATGTACATGGACTAGCAAGCGTTTATATTTAAATGTACTGTATATTCTTTTTCTTAAATCCAAAGACAAAAAGGATTTCCTCTTGATTTTCTATGCTTATTAACTATCATAAAGCAATAATAAGACCCTGTAAGTCTAATAATAACAACAAATGCAGTTTTATGTTGTGAATCAGTCCTGCTGTAGCATTTCTTTCTATTAGAGGTGTCTAATAACTCCTTTATTAATATATATTACAAGAAATTGAAACTAAATCGGTGCATTTTAGTCTTAACACGTATGCTGGTGCTTTTCAAACAACGTTTTTACTGTTTTCTTGTCTGTTTCAAAGATTCCCATTAAGGTTACATCTATTATCTGGTGCAGAAAGCAGAGATGCGAGATCACAGTGAGGAAAGAAACAACAGATTGTAAGAAAAAAGGAAATGGTTTTTCTACAAACATTTTAATGAATGTGGTGTTCAGGGACAAATAAAGGTGCTTGTTTGTTTACAGCAATCAAACAGACATTTGTAACACACATAAAAAATGATAGTGAAAAAGATCTTCTGCACTTTGTCATTTCAAAACTTGAAACCACTAAACCATGACTCCGTGTGGGGGAAAAAGTCTCTTGTTGCCTGTTTGTTGGTTGTTGCGTTTTTTTTTGTACTGTGTTGGAGGTTTATCCCTGAGAGAGAACCAAACACTTTTGTCCTCATCACAACTCCTCGTGCCTTGCCTGTTCCCGCTCTTTGTCCTCATCCACTTTAAGTTTCAGCTCGTTGGCTGTGATCACGCCGTCTTTATTTCGGTCCTGGTTTTGGAACATGTCGGTGACGACGTGCTCCATGGTCAGCCCGGGCTTTATGCGACCTTTGCCCTCTGCCACCTGCAGCTTGATGAACTCCGCAAACTAAAGTTACAGAGATCGAGAACCATCAGTCACAAATTAGTCAGTGATCACCGTTCACTCGCCTGTTCTAACGCCAAAGAAAAACCCTTGTTTCACTATGTGAAAACAATATCGAACATGAATAATTATTTAAAATTACAATTTTAAAAAAAATCAGCGTTGTTCTTAGTCTCACCTCCAGATGGCAGTAAAGTAAGTTGGGTACATTTCCGTGAGTCGTCATTTATCGTTAAGAAAAATCACGATTTCACAAGAAAAAAAAAAAAAATCTTACAAAGTACAAGAATCAGTAACTAATTGTATAGTGTGGGAAACAAATGCAGGCTTATACAGCCTAGTAAGTGCAGGCTAAACTGGCTTGCTTACATCTTGCCATATACAGAGGTGTGCCAGTCCGTGCAGTCGGGGGCGGAAAAAAGTTATTAGGTTTAGGAAATTGCTTTTTCACTAGGATCAGGTAGATGTGGACATTTTCCCCCTTAATGAATAAGTTCAACTTTTAAAAACGGCATTTTCTATTTACTTGCAGCGTCTTTGTCTAATGCTAAAATTTGTTTGATAGATCTCAAACATGTTAGTGTGAGAACTATGCAAAAGACTAAGAAATCGATAAGGGGGTCAAATACTTTTTCACAACACTGTAGTTTGCGTAAAGAAAATTCAGTAAATACTTCATAAATCATATCGTGTTCAGTGAGCCTGCAGACTAAAAAAACAGAACAGAGTTGACAAGCATGAATTAAACTAATGTTAAATAATAATGTGATTATAAAGGAGGAACTCAGACATGATGTCAATAGACATATTTTAAAAAATCCAACGGTTACTTGGACTACTGATGTTGCTTTTCCTCACTGCCTTTTTTAAAATCCTACCATGTGAAATGACAGTTGTCTACGTACCTCCTCCTGTGGCACCTCTGCATTCTTGTTTATGTCCAAGGCTTCAAACAGGTCTGTAGGAGTGTCCTCCAGCCACACAAACAGGTAACCAGGCGGCACGCCCTTCTCAAAGCTCAGCAGCTCTATGTCAAAGACCAACACGGCGCTGCTCGGCACACCAGCAGCTGGCAGAAAGTTAAAAACACAACTGTAAGATGGCAACTTTTACTGGTGCCATGGCCATAAACAAGCATCGGTCATACAGCAGAAATCTCACCTCCCCTTTCCCCATGGCCAAGGTGAGGTGGCACCGTTATCACCCTCCTCTCTCCCACACACATGCCCTGCAGGCCCTGATCCAGCCCGTCGATCACTTTGTCTGAGCCCAGGACGACGTCCTGAAGGCTGCCATAGTTGTGTCTGAGTACAAGGCCAGTTAGGAGACAAAACAAAAAGATGATGACTTATGCTGATCTAAAATTTGAATCGCTGTTAAAAGAGATGAGGATGTGCGTATTTGTGTGACCCACGAGGAAAAGAGCAGCGTCCCGTCCATGAGGGAGCAGTTGTAGTGGTAGCGGACGAGGTCGTTCACTTCTGTGGTCTCGTTACACACTTCGGGTCTGTGGATGACCTGGACAGCCACCGTGTCGTTGGGGTTGTGGAAGTCGATGACGTGGATGTCAAAGACGAGCACAGCAGAAGGAGGGATCACATCACCTGGTGACACCATAGAGAGGTTTTATTTATTTATTTAGTTTCATTTAACGAAAAACGCACATCAACTATGACCGTCCACGAGCCAATGATGTGATTTGTTATTGGTGTCTAGTTTTTGTGTCGTACTATAATCTATATATAAGCCAGGATAGGATTTATTAGGTATTATGTAGTAGCTTAACACTGCCATTTTACATTTTTATTATGCACTGCATTGACACCCTTAAGGCATAATAAGATTTCTGTCAGTTTGAGTTGGTTTTATTTTCTGGAGGAGAGAACTTCCCTGACGCTTGGAAACTTTACACTGACTCACCTGCTCCGTTCTCTCCATAAGCCAGATGTGGAGGAATAGTGATCTTCCTCTTCTCCCCAATGCAGAGTCCCAGCAGGCCCTGATCCATCCCCATTATTACGTACCCCATCCCAATGTAGGTGTTGTAAGTGCTGTTCCTCTGGTAGCTGGGGACAATAAAAAGGCCAAAAATGCAAGTTTATGTTTAAACCTTAAGCTGTATTGGCAGTGATGCGACAGCAGTATTATTTCACATATAAAATGAAAATTAAGCTGCAGCCAAATCAGCAGAGCATGAGCTGACCTGGTATCAAAGGTGACTCCATTCAGGAAGGTGCCGTTATAGTGGTACCGAATGTAATCTCCGACCACGGACCTGCGAGTGCATGACTCCGGCACCACCTGGTTCTCAACAGTGATGTTATCCTTCGGGTTGTGGATGTCCACCAGCAGGACGTCGAACACCAGAGTCGCCTGAGGGGGAATCTCGTCACCTGGCAGACAGAAAAGTGGAGAATTTTGGATGTCACATCTACTAGTTGCAACATGCAAGTGGTTGGATATAAAGAAGAGTTTCATTTTTATTCATCTTTGATTTATTCAAAACTGCAAAGAAGAAAAAGGTTTGTGATACACCACAAAAAATGTTTAACTTCTGGTTTCACAGAGTATTTTGCAGCATCCTTAAGCATCAAAATCGCGTTGCCTACCTCGGCTTTAATGTTACCGTCTCAATTATTTGACTTATTCTGTTTGTAAAAATGATTTCCCTTCACAAATACATTGATCAGCCACAATTGGTCCCTTCTTGAATCAACATTTCAATCTCTTTATGAAATTCGGAGTTCCTCACCTGATCCCTTTTCTCCGTAGGCTTTGAACGGCGGGATGACGATTTTTCTGATCTCTCCCACACACATGCCCAGCAGGCCCTCATCCATGCCCTTGATCATCCAACCCTCACCTACTAGGGAGTTGTGTGTCTGTTTCCTGGTGTAGCTGCGTGGGGCTCATACAAGCGCAAAGTCAAACACACAACTTCACACAGACAACATACCTGGATGACACAGCACAGACAAATTAGAGCTGTGATTTGGATTAAAGATTTGATGACTTAGACTTAGGGATAAAATTGCCTAAAAATATTGGTCCCATTCAACTCATGCTGGTTTGAAGAAAGAGTCAATAAACATCTTATCTTCTTCAGAAAATAGTCACCAAAGTCAGAATTCACCTGGAGTCAAAGACTGTGCCGACGAGCAGAGTGCCGTTGAAATGGTAACGCACAAAGTCAGTACGAATCACGGAGCGCTTGCAGTCTTTCGGAGTGGTGATGGTTGTGGTTACAACCAGGTCGGCCGTGTTCCACAGATCCAGCAGGTGGATGTCAAACACGAGGGTGGCGTCTGGAGGAACGACGTCACCTGAAAATAAGGTTGGATGACAGTTAGGTGGAAGCTGCCGACAGATATGGGTGGAAGCAAAACAAACAAATAACTTATGGTCACTAAGGCTTTCACACTGTGCTCCAAAATCCACACAAGCATTGATTTTACATGCATTTCCGTAAGTGATACATTACAGTTGAAATGGGATGTTGGTAATTTAGTTTCCGGTACGTTAACGACTACAAATACAGAAGAATAACTCTTGTTTAGATACATTTTGAGTGCCATTAAGTTTGCATTTCAACACTTAATGATGGTATTATTATTATCAAGTGTTGTATGACCCTCAAGCTGTTATTTTTGACTTTTCTAAATGTCATTTTGCTGCTACAGCAAGCCTTTGCATTTTTTATTTTATTTTATTATTTTTTAGGGCCTTTGCAGCCGAACCACCACAGAACAGTGAAGCCACCTTAACTCTTTACCCCTTGAAAGCCTACTAGGAATAACCCTCTCCTGGCCCTAGTTCAAAATGTTAGTGAGAGTGGTCTCTGCCTATGCAACCACCCTTAAAAAACAAAACAAATAAACAAAGAAACTATATAATGGTACAATGGGTTGCCAAATAGTGTCTTTAAGGGGGGAAAGTTAGTAAGCCTGCTAAAGAAGCAACAGGCCTGTCTACAGAAACCAGAAAGCATTTCTATGCTGGACAACTGTCAGTTTGTGAAAACGTGATTACACAAGTTTGTTTGTAGATTTGAATCACATACGCATGACATCTGAAATGCAAACAGCCCACCTAGGGTAGCCAGGAAAACTATAGGCTATTTATGCACACTCTAAAACAGAAGAGCCACAAAGTAGCTGCTACAGAGCCAAGTTGAAATCCTGGATATGAGCTGTTGGTTAGAGTGGAAACTCTCTTGTGTGCTATAAAAACATTTTAAAAAGATCTAACTAAACAAGCCCAAATCATTATCATCTATGCAGTACATTGTTTTCTCTAGATTCACAGCTGCAAACTCTTTAATCATCCCACAGCCATATTGCAGTCCAAATTATTGTATGTGTCTACCCCCGTCTGCTGTGGGTTGCATTGAGTTGAGGCATTTTTGCGCTGTACAAGTCTACAATGGGTATCAATAATCTATTGATAAAAACGTCCTTTGCAAATTAGTGCCTAATAATGTTCACACATGACCTCTGCACTCACCTGCCCCGGTGTTTCCATAGGCCAGCTGTGGCGGGACGGTGATTTTCCTGCGCTCATTCACACACATGCCCTGCAGACCTTTGTCCATCCCCGCAATGAGCCGACCCTCCCCGATCAGGCCGACTTTAGCTGCTCCTTTCTGATGGCTGTGAAGGAAACAAAGGAACGTCACAAGTGGGTCAAGAGAGGGCTGCCTCTGCGGAATGTGCATGTAGAGCCTCATTAACGGAATCTGCAAACTTGCTTGAACTTGTAAATCATTATCTCGGTATTTTTGACATTTCTAAATGTCATTTTGCTGCTACAGCCAGCCTTTGCATTTTGGGGATTTTTTTAGGGCCTCTGCAGCCGACAATGAAGTAAAAACTTAAATTATAGCGTAATGTGGACCGACTCACCTCGAATCAAAAGTTTTTCCATCGATAAATGTTGCGTTATAGTGATAGCGGACGTAATCTCCGCTTTTCACTTCTCTGGCGCAGTCTTTGGGGATGAAGTATCTGTCCACGACTACATCTCCAAGCACAGGACTGGGGTTACACTCCACGAAAGAGCCGGAGATGAGAAGGAAAAGGGCAATGCAAAAGGAAAACATTGTTTGGGGAATAACTTAAAATGGATTTCAAATAAAAACGCCAAAAAATTAAAATTAAAAACATAAATCAGTTTAAGCCCTGCGTTGGAGTGCGCTCTTCACAGCGCAGAGGGGCCGGGCTGCAGATGTGGAGCTGGGCAGCGGTGTCTGAATGCTGTAAACGTGGACAACCTCCAGCTCGCTGTACAAACTTTTTTTCTTACCACGGTGGAAGGAATGTGGGAGCTGGGAGAGGCAAGCCCCTCCGTCAAACTTACCACATTAAGAAAAGAAAAGAAAAAAAACATGAACTCCTTCAAAATAAGATATAGCCTTATAATAGCGGTAACTGCGTTTTACTGGGGAAACCACAAAGTAAAAAACAGTAATGATAAACATAACAGTACACAAGTCCCCGGTCATCACGTGCTTTTTGAAATACAAATCACTCCAATCGCTTCCCACTGAATGTTTTCCTCACATTGGTTTATAATTTAACCAAACACAGGCTTTGAAAATTGTTCTAAATCTCCTCATTCTGGCCTTTGCTTAAACATTATCTCTAATGCACAAAATGTCATCTTTTCAGCATATAACCACTTTGAAGTCTGTCAGTGCGTCTGGATACCTAAAAATGTAACGTTTGCTTTTTATTTTGAAATTAACGGCGCCTGTACTTCTAGTGTGCCTTGACTCCTCAGCACCGCTGCACACAGCTGTGGGAAAACCGAATCGCCTCTTTGAGCCGTAAAGTAGCCCGAGAGCCTCAAATGTTTCAGCTTTTCATTAATGCCGTGAAGTTCTGGATCAGTCCAACTCATCTGGTGCTCACTTCCTTTACGTTGTCAAAAAAATCTCAAAGAAACACCAACAATATAGCACTTATGTTTTGAAAACAAAAAAGATGTCACGTGTAGTGAAGTTTTATTTATCTGTACAAATGAAAACGAGCTCTCTATAGATTACATGTACTGCTTATTGCGTGATATTACTTCAATTTGAAAACATTAAATGGAACTAAAATGAATGACTTATGAAAACGTCACCTTGGTACAACACAGAGTAATCGATGGAAGTGATTTCAGATGTTTCTGTGTAGTCAACAGGATCTATGACGCATCCGTACCTACATTATAATTAAGTATTTTCGGCTCGCAAACATTATTTTCTAGAACTGTGATGTTGTATTTGTTGCAATTTCTTCTGCCCTCTTGGCCAGCTCTCTTGAAAAAGATCGTTTCAAAGATCGGAATGATCTCGAATTGATATCGGTATAAGACATGTTAGACAGATTATAGGCCAATAAGTCATTCACAACAGTTTCAGTATTGACAATCATTTCATAACCAATGCTGGAAGGGATTGTTTTTTGGGGGTTTTTGACAGAACGCTTTTGGGTATGGCAGGCGCCGAGGGCGCACTGGAAATCCCTTTTACGCACGCGGCGAATATAGGGACAGCTGTGGGCCTACATTGAGAAACTTGAGACAGCCGCGGCTGAAAGGCCCAATCCATGAATTCCAACAGACCCCTAAGCGGTTCAGCAGACCACCACCACACAGTAAACGGTAAAGCATTAAGACAGAAGACGGAGGACTGCGATGTGACCTCACCATGGTGACATTATGCGCAAAAGTAGACTCGCTGGTAACACTGCTTTGTGTGACCTTTGTTTTAATGACAAAGGCACAATATGAAAACTACAATTTTCGAAATTTTTCCGGAGAGGACCTCATGCCCCTCACCGCTGCGTACGGGAAGGCGCTGGATTATTACGCAGCGGGAAACTGGACGGAATCGATCCAGTACTTGGAATTAAGCCTACGTTTGCACCGGCTTCTGAAGGACAGCGTGAGACACTGCGCGAGCCACTGTAACTCGAGCAAGCATGACGACGAGTCTTTTGCTGGATACCCGGATCTCCGCGTCTACTGGAACGTTATGATGAAGGCGACCTGTCAGAAGAAGTGCAGGGCGCTTTTCCCCGCGTTCCAGCTGCCTCCTCCCGGCCGAAAGATCCTGGAGGATTTCAGCAGAAGATCTCCCTACAGATACCTGCACTTTGCTCACTCACAGGTCAGACAACCTCCAATAAATTCACCACACCCATTTATCTAGAGGTATTTGCAATATGTTAAACTACTATGTTTTTTTTTTTAAAAATACTTCCGTTTGGTTTGGATCAATATATACATTATGCGTGTAGACTAATGACAAATTAAAGAAAAATAATAGGTTGATTTCACTTGGACGCGCAATAGAGCAGAAAACTTTAAACGGAGCCATGTGTAATATACCTCCAAATATTCCACTCTGTTGACTTTCAAATGTCGGACAAAAATAAATAATTCTAACTCCTGCAGCGATTTTTGCGGTGATTTTTAGTTTGTGCGATAGAAAAAACAAAACAAAAACAAAAAACCCCCACAGACCTCTGTGCGCTATTTCACAACATCCAAAGTAATTTGTGTGCACAGCTGAATGACCTGCAGAGGGCGGTACCATGCGCCCACACCTTCCTCCAGAGGAACCCTGAGGACCAGCAAATGCAGCAGTTGATGGAGGAATACAAGAGCAAGTATGACCTGAGCGGCTACCTCATTGACCACGAAGAACGACCCTACGAGGTGAGAAGCGCTCAGCCATTGTTCTTAAAGTCTGGAAAAGCCTCACCTGCAATCTCTTAAAAGAAAAAGAAAAAGGAGTATGAAGTCTGCAAAGCAACATCTGCTTAAGCCAAAAACAGTTTGGAAATTGTTTAGATAAAGCAAAGAATGGGTTCTACTAAACACTGACTGTATTTACTACATTGATTGAGTCAGTCCAAAAACTGTCCTGATGGAAAAGTCATTATGTTTTCAGTTTCAATGCCCCAAAGCAGATCCAAACTCCACTTGGAAAAACCCCCAGAAATACAAGCCAAAGCTTTTGTGTTGGCTCACACAGACTCCTGACCCAAACATGAAATCTTGACACGCTATCCTGCAAGAAACTACCTCACAAGTTGAAGTTATCTGCAAGGACGAGTGGGTGCAAAATTTGTATAAAGCTTCCCAAACTTATGCATTCATGTGTTATTGGGGCTAACACATACAAATCAGAAAACAATGAAATACTTCAATGAGACTGAACTGCTTGAGATGTAGAAGGTGCTGTATTGGGCCTTTCTTTTATAAGTAATAGAGTGAACAAACTCTTTACTTGGATTATTTACAATTTGCCAGATAATGGTTTCTAATTTTGTTTCCAGACGTCATTTCTGAGAGGAGTGAAACTTGTGGGTTCGGGCGACTACAGCAGCGGTGTTCAAGAGTTGGAAGAAGCTCTGTGGCTCTACTTCCAGGAATATGACCTGTGTCAGGCCGAATGTGAAGGGATCACTCAACTTTTAGCAGACAGAGACTTCTATGCAGTCATAGCAGGTTGGTGTGTCATATTTTAAAATGTCCAGATTATCAATATACTCACTAATGAGCATCTAAACGACACTAAAACCTTCTTTAAAAATAAATCTAAATGTAAAAGCTGTGATTTTAGAATCAGAAATGATTCTGGATCCAGTGTTTCTTCCGTTTTTCAGCACACTTCTAGTTTCATGTAATCTGGATTCTTTCTGCTTGTCAACAGATGCCTACATTGACACATTAAGGTGCAAACTGAGGTGCGAAGAAAACCTGACACCGAATATTGGGGGTTATTTTGTAGTGAAATTTGTGCCCACTGTTTACCACTACCTCCAGTATGCCTATTATAAGTGTAAGTTCAGCATCATCACAGATTCTGAATATTCTTTCTCAACACTTTCTGGTGTTGAATCTCTGAGTGTTTGTGGTCTGTGTATTCTCTGCACAGTGAACGATGGACGCAGTGCCGTGCCCTGTGCTCACAGCTACTTCCTGTTCGAGCCTGAGGACCCAGTCATGAAGCAGAACCTGCTATATTATAAAGCCTACAGTCAACAGTGGGGGCTTCAGTCCAACCACTTTACCCCCAGGATGGTAAGATGAAAATTGGAAAAGTTTGTTGCAGAATAAAGTTGAATATCGCTCTATAATAATCATGCCACCAATCTTTGTCTTAACAGGAAGCTTTCAAACACTACAACCAGACAATAATGCAAAAAAAGATGTTGGCATTTGCAGAAACATACTTCGGTCTGTCTGAGGAGGTGAGCTTCATACAAAAACAGCTCATTCTTTGGCCACATAAGAGCTTAGATTGCCTGAAATGCTGAATGAAATCCCTTAAAAACATTGATTATCCAATATAATCCAGTATAATCAATTTGATGTTTATTGAACATTCAGGGAGAAGTTTTGTGGCTGCATGTTTTAGCACTTTGTAATGTAATTGCGATCTGGATGGTTCTTCCAGGACTTTCTAGGACCAGAGGAGGTTGCACGGTCGGCCCCAGACTCTCCTGATGCTGAGTTTGAAGGTATTGGAGATTATGAGGAGTCAATTTATGCAAACTGGAAGCAACTGAAGGGCAAAGGGGATGCTGGCGAGTCAGACATCTGACGACTTTCTGGAGTTTACAGAGAATAGTCTGACTATAAGACTATAAATAACCACTTGTTACAACCAAGGTATGCAGAAGAGCGTCTGTGAATGTGCAACATAGTGCCACTCCTGTCATTAAGAACAAGAACCTGAGGCTACAATTCACACAGGATCACCAGAACTGGACAACAGAACCTAGACTGGAAAACTATTGTAGTCTGATGATTCCCACAGTCCGGGTTTCTGCTGTGACATTCAGACAGTGGGGTCATAATTTGGCATTAACAACATAAAAGCGTGGATCCATCCTCCCTTGTAGCTACGGATCTGGGTTAGGATTATGGTTAACACATCATGTCACAAAGCTCAAATCATCTCAAACGTTTCTTGAACAAGACGATGAGTTCACTGTACTCAAATGGCCTTCAGTCACCAGATCTCAGTCAAACAGATCACCTTTGGGATGTGGTGGAATGGGAGATTCCCATCATAGATGTGCAGCAACTGTGTGACAATATGTTGATAGACCAAACTCTGTGATAAATGTTTCCTGCACCTTGTTGAATCTATGCCACAAAGAATTAAGCATAAGCAGTCCTGAAGGTAAAAAGAGACCCAACCCTGTGCTAGCAGTACCTAATAAAGTGGCTGATCAGTGTAATTAGACTTTAAAACTAGTAATATTGTAGCTGTCACAACAAACCGGGTCATTATGAATTATGAACATGAAACTGAAGTAGCAAGTTAGTCAGCGTTGCACAGATGGTCAACCAAATATTTACAAATTATCAAATACTTTCAAGCCAGATTCAGTGCAGTATAATACAGTATATTAAGCAAGTCGGTAACATTACAGCTAAACAATTTTAATACAAACTTCATCTAATGTAACACAAACAATCAGCAACAAAAGTTTAATTATATCTGGATTCATAGCAGCAGACACTCATGCAGTGGATCACAGAGTCACTCGAGTTCAGGTAGGTTTTATTATGGGTTTTAATATACAGTAATACGAGTATTTACACTGAGAGCCAGGTTACCTAAAACTAGACAATGTTGGCTTTTAATAGTGAGTAGTGCCAAAGTCCTTTTAATAAGTCAAACTACAGTATGCGATCACAGCTACAGTAAACATGGTGTGACCTGAGCTTCCAGCACACTCAAGGACAGACATGTCCTAGAGATTTCTTCATGTTTCTACAGCGTTTATGGGTGAAAGAGTCCAACTGTAATTTTAACAGATATGTTAACCCTTTAAATGAAGCCTGTGGTGACAAATATTGAGCACGTGTGACGTTATATACTGTTAAAAGTCTTTTTCTTGTCTACAAAAACAATTTATTAAAGTTATTTTCAGGAGGCAGGAACCCCTTGTGTGATGGACTTCAACTGAACGTATCAACACTCCTTTAACGCTCCTGTAGGTTGGCTGGCAGTGTAACTCGGATAATTTCTTCTGGCACCTGTGCCAACGACTCTTAATGCTATTAATGATAAAATACAGCTTTGTGTGACAATCACAGGAGTATAAGCCTCTTAACCTGATCGACACGCTCTGATACTCAATTTTTTAATGCACTTATATACTGCTCATTATGTGGATCTGTTCAGTCAGAAGTATATAACCTGTAACCATTTAGAGACAAAGCATAATCAGCTAACCTTCAGAAGCCAAATTAATAATTCATGTACATTTCTGGACTTGAGGGAGATCCTGCGAGACATTTGTGTTGTCTCGTTATCATTTTTCAGTATGAAAGTCTAATACTGGCATGTATAAAACACACGGCCGTAGCCTGAGTGAGAGCCAGTGACATTTCTGAGCATTCAGAGAAGCTGAGATTTCCCCTAAGATGCAAAGATTTACATCTCTTCTCGCTGATTAAATCATCCAAAACAAGCAGTTTCAGGCGGTAAGACTGTTCTCTCTTCAGGCTTGTGCTTCCAGTCAGAGCGGCAGTGAGTCACTGCTGTCTAAAGGGTCAGTACATTATATTTAAACAGCACCCATGTTCAGCATACATGTATGCATACAGTATAGTTTGTATGCGGATTACAGGATCATACAGCGGGATGAAACATTGGGTGCATACATGTGCAGCTGGCCATCCAACACCATCCCTCGCAGGTTGGAACTACACGTTCATACATTAGCAATTATTATGTAGAAGCATTGATTTAGGATTAGGAAAGGAAGCATAAGGGGAGAAATTATGGCTATTACTCTGGAATGTAAAGGTCTACAAAACAAAACCCTCATCTAGACAGACAAGATGTCAGCAGCCTGATATTTTTACACTTCTATTACAGCTAAAGTCACACTTCTGAGAGGAGATGGTTGTGCTCTCCACGAGGTTAAATATGTAACTGTTCTCTAATACAAGGCTTCATTAAACAAGTCAAGACTGAGCGAGGTGCATGGCCTACCTTCTGTGAAATCATTTAAAGGGGTGAAGCTTTTTAACAGTCAGTACAGCAGAAGACCTGCTGTGGCCCGTCGAAGCGAAAGGGAAAGAAAAAAAAAAAGCTTCTGTGTGTGTCCCAGACAAAAAGAAACAAAGATGTGGCAAAATGAAACAGGAGGAGGTGACGGCAGCAAAAGTGACTCAGACAGCTACAGCCAGACTTTATGGTCTGTAGGAGTGCCCTCAGAGCTTCCATACTCCTGATTTATTTTTCCAGGTGGCTTGAGTACCAACATAAGAAACAGGAAAAATCTGAGGGCCAGTAATGGAAGACATCTTTGTTTTGTCTCCTCAGAGTGGACTGCACACAGTGTAAGGAAGATAGGACAGCAGAGAGATATGACTCAAACTCCCTTAGATCTGGAAAGAGAAGAGGAATGGGGTGGAGAAAAAAAACAAGAGGAGAGGATAAGGAAGATAAAGAGGTGGGAGAAGAAGATAAAGATTGAGTCCCAAACTGAAAAGCCAAAGACGAGCCTTTCAGTTTTCTACAATGTAAATGACACAGAGGCAAAAACTGAGGAGAAGCAATCAGCAAAGGTTTATCTTTGCTCGAAAAACTGCTTTAATGACTAATTTAAAAACAGCTGCCAATTAATTTTCTGTTTACTAATCACTAAAGCAGACAGAAGATCAAAATATTAAAAAAAAAAAACCAAAAACTTCATTAATAAAAAGTGAACCTTTTATTAATGAAATGATACAAATCAACACAGAAGCTATATGCTAGGAATGGCAACCAACTCTGAAGCGGCACGCAGCACAAATAAAAATGAAGCAAACTAGGATAACACAGTGAATAGGAGTTTGTATATTTTATGAATGGGTACTGCAATATGCACAGGCTATATAAAGACTGTAGTATGTGGCATTGCTTTATGCCATTGTTTCTATACAAATACACATTAATTAAAAAAAGGATCATAAATGAGGAAAAATAAGAATAAAGAAGCAGGTAACAGATACAAGTGAGAGTCCTTAGAAAAAGGTCAGATGATTCTTACAAAACAGATGGCAATACAGTGATATAATCATCAGTGGTTTAATGATGTCCCAGCTTTGGGATCAGCTCTGAAAGGTGGGATCGTACCTTCCTTTCCGGATATTTCTGGAAGTGATGCAGGAAAAGATAAACAGGGACAGCAATATTATCAACTTTGGTGTTCAAGGAGCAGTGTGATAAAAAAAAACAAAAAAACCACGCAGTGCAGAAAAACTGGCATTTACTTCAAATCTCACATCTTCATCTTTTGCTATCAACAAAGTAAACTCTACTGCCTGCCGGTGCAGGATCTGTCCGGGTAGATACAAGCTATAGTTATGAGATGAAGGCAAAAGATTATGACGAGCGCATCCGTTCCTCTGCATACTGCAGGCGTGCCACGGCAAAGCTAGCACGAGACAAGACAAAGCGGATAAAGCAGGCAGAAGAAAGACAATTGGGAGTCAAATCCAGCTGTGCACACTGAACTATGGAGAGACGTGCTTTCTAGTAAGGGATTCTAATATGTGCACCAGTATGCCAGAGAAAACTTCAAAGAGCACCTCACCAATGCAGCAAAGCACTCCTAACATCACTAAAGTGAGCTGTTGGTGCCATGCAGACAGGAGGAGAGGGCTGCAGAGGTCTGAGCATACCCAAACACACCCATTGAACTGCTGAAGTCAGTCTGACATGGGAGCTTACAGCAGTTTCACTATCTTGGACAAATTTACCCGAGAGAATAGCAACTAACTGTTGATTAATAAACTGGGTTTTTTTTTCTTGAATTAATTGTTTTAAGTAGAAAAACATGCCCTCAACAAGTTCCTGTCCTCAAAAAGCTCAGCCAACAAGCCCAACCCTAATTTTGTTACTCTTCTTCAAATAGGAGTCAAATTCTAATCATCATCATCATCATCTCATGCCATGATGCAAGTTTCAGGGAAGATTTTATGTAAACAAAGCAAAACAAAACAAAACAGCAAGCTACTGAAATGCTTTCATTCGTGCCAAATCCCTCGACATACCCACAGATGGTGAACCATCTACTGCACATCCACCCGCTTTAAGAAGAAACCCACATGCTCTCTTGTGGTGAGTATGGATCAGGCTGCAAGCAGAGAAGCGTTCAGCAGCGAGCTGCAGGCAGGCGTCTACGTTAGCTGACAGAAGGAACACGGCAGGCACACACAGACGGAGGCATGCCAGAGCTCTTACTTAAATCCCCAACCAGTTCCCCCCAGGATTATCGCCGCCAGCAGAATAGCCCCAGCAACCGAGCCTATGATGATATTGGTACCACTGGGACCTGTGGGAGCGAAGGAAGAGGCATATAGGCATGCTGAGAACCAATAAGTCACTTTTTGGGTAGTTAATATACGCATTATGTACATATGGAAAATAAAATAGGCTTCATGTTCTGCACCACATACAGTCAGGTCCTTAACTATTTGGACAATTACACATTTTTTCCTCCTCTTGAAAATGAGGTGCTGCATAAAAATGGCTCCAATTTCCAAACAGTAAATCCAATAGTTTGCTAAAGTTGACAGTCGGCACTTCAATTAAATCTTGATGATTTAATTTAAATTAATCTGGTAGTGCACA